CGTTGTGAAACATTGGGCTCACTAATCTTTCGGTTTTGATAAACAAGGAAGACTTCTTCAGTCCTGCAAATTTCAATGTATGTTCCTGTTGTAGAAATTAATTTTTGTTTGCTTTGGACATTTGCGCAATGCTATACAAGGGATATATGCGTTGGCCGTCTTAGTTTCGAAATGATTGGCTAGAGTGGAAGCAGCTAGCCAACAGTACCCACCGCTAACTCTTGGACTACTTTCATCGAATAACGGGTATAACCTTTACTCTTATAACGCTCTCACGGTTCCAAAGTGCTGAGCTCGATTTTGCTGCTATGAGACGCGAACAAAAGACCCTTGGATTCACTGTTCGACTCGCAAATTACTAGGTCACACCAGTCCCTAAAAAAGAAGAGAATACTAATATCTTCTTTATGTGTGAAAGTGGATAGAAGACTGAAGCATAATATTTATTTAAAAAAGAAGTATCCTTGCTCTTTCATACTGTGTTGTTGCATAGGGTTCTTATTATCACGAAACAGTATTCATCTTTTAGTAGTTACTCAATTAATTTTGTCTTTGGCAGGTTTTTATAGGGGCCGCGAGTCTTTACAGTAGGCATCTGTGACTTTTTGGCGATAAATTTCAACAATAAACAGACAGCACATAATGGGTTTGTTTTAAAACAATATATACAAAACAAGTAAACTTAAGTACAAAAAGTTGTTACACCATTGGTTATCACACTTGTATCCAGAGCTTTAAATAACTGTCTCTTTTTTGTCAAAGTCCATACTGGCGGGTTCAGTTACTTTAGAATACCCTTTGACAAGACAAATTATTCTCCTCTACTTTGTTATTACAATACAAGCTGTAAAACTCACTTTAAAAATCGCTCGTTACAACTATTTCACACGCAGTCTAACTACACGTTCACTTTCACTAACTTGGTCGCCTATATATATATGTGTGTGTGTGTGTGTGTGTGTGTGTATATTGCCCGACTAAGTTCTAGAACTTTCCACCAACTACGAGACGTTATGATGTAACAATACTCACTTAAAACAATAAAAAAAGTTAGAAGATTCGACTAATGTGACGTCACTTCTCAACAACTGAACTACACAACAAATGATTCGTGAACAGTTACGTGAGCAAACCTGCGATAAATTGTCGCTTCCAAAAATACTAAACTTAAGACTCCTGCTTTATAACTATGTAAATCATAACACTCCTATTAAATTTAAATTAAACAATCCTGCATATCTATCAGTCTAACAGATATGTGCTAAATTATGTCATTCCAGTCGCCACAGTAAGTTTGGATTATTTTACCGCAATTAAATATGACAATGAATAAGAAAGGTGTGAAACTGAGTGAGAAATGGGTAAGGCCTCTGTTTCCTTATCACGTTTGACAAGGGACACACATTTATTTATTCAACTTTCCTTTATTAGTTACGCATGCTATTTAATACAAAATAGAGATACTCTGTTACAAGAAAAACAAGAGTCAGTCAGATGTCAGTGAAAGATAATGAAAAGTTCCTACTCAAAAGACAAAACCAACTAACTTGGCCTATGAAATTTCAAATTTAGTTTTACTTATCAAGATAAAATCAACTTTTCAATTGAAGAATCTGCTAGAGGACATTGCATTGTGTTTAATTTTATTTGCAATTTACACTTATTCATACCCTACAGTGGCTAGGCGGTAAATCTGAGGACTTGTAACACTACAAATTGGGGTTTGATACCTATTATGAACAGAGCACAGATTGTCTATTGGGTAGTTTTGCTCATGACAACGAAAAATCAAACGCTTATTCATCTAAGCCATTGTTTGACAAACGTCTTTATGTGTGACCATTTAAAACAGGCGAACAGCTAGATTGATTTGTCACCATGTACCTATAGCCCTCTCATCGTAAAGTGACATAGAGGGAGAGGGGTTCGACGTTCGGATCTAATTCCATATGTCATCCCTGGGGACTATATCTTACCTATGCAATGAGCGAATACTCTAACTAATTACCTTAAATTTCATGTCAAACACCTTGAAGTAGCCCCAAGTGGCACAGCGGTATGT